CTCTGTCATGACCTGTCCGTCTTGGGTGGCCCTGCACGGTATAGCTCATGGCTTCACTGAGTTACGCAAGCCCCTTCGCCACGACAAGGCTGTGATCCATGAAGGAGATATCATGATTACAGTACCATAATTTTAAGCTGTAGAATAGACCCATGGCAAATTTTGATTTCAAAGAACACTGCCATCAATGTAGTTTCTAACAGCACCACATTTGTATTTTAGTTAATGTGAAAATACAAATTCTTACCCTTTACCACATCCTTCAGGTCCAACAAGAAGAAACGGTTGCTTACTATCAAAGCCTAACCAAGGCTTAAAGTAATCTAAACCTCTTTGCATATCAGGTGTTTGAATTACTGGAAGAGTCTGAATATTGCTGAAATCATCTGCAGTAAGGTTTTCAGGCTTTTTCAGTTGGTAGGATACAAGGTGTTCAGTATCAGGATCAAAATAGGTATCCATTGGTTTGTTGGGATTTGGTGGGGATTCTCGGGCCCAAGAAAAAACCTAAACACATTTTTAAAAGACTAAAGTTAAAATGTTTTTCAAATAAGCATATTTATTATCTATATCTATTCATGTGGTATTTGTCAATAGGTACTTGAGTAACAATTTGTCCACGCATAAGGCAAATTCTCTCTCAACTTAATTGCTAAGCATACATAAAACATAAAATCCAGAGTATATACTGTAAGTTAGTTGTGACTATTAACTTGGTCTATTGACTTTGATTCAACAGAAGTATAATTTATTTACTTAAATTCAACCACCTGATTCTCCAGTCTTTACCACACTTTAATACTCCTATCTGGCAAAATGGCTTCCCCACTGATTGTGGCCTCATCTCACCAAAGCTTCTGTAACATCCCAAATTTCTACCTTTAATTAAAATAAATAAAACGCATTCTTAGTTCAAGAAAAAACTCTTTTTTTTTTTTTTACCTAGGCATGAGGAGGACACAAGAAAACTGTTTTCAGTTTATGCAAACCTTTTCTCCAAAAGTCTTCCTGAAATTGGATTAAAAAAATAAAAGGCACATAATATCTACATACTGCATGTGAAGATCTTCACTGACATCTTCATTAGTATCTCATTGACTGGGAATTATAATAAAGGAAAACCAACTTACTTGAAGTCACTAGGCGAGAGAAGGCTGATTTGTCATCTAAAAGTTATTATACAATAATGCATTCCCCCATTTTTGTTTTGAAATAATCCCTATTTCATTTAATATTTAGGTTGGACAATTACATATTTTATAATTGAATGCTAATGCAATTTCTTACAAAAGGATCCTTTTTGCAGCTAATCAATGAAATTGCTAATGATCTGCTTTGTTCTATCAATAATTACCTCTTTGGTAAATTCCTGCCGTGATTTCATGTTGAGATTTCCCCCAAGTCCCCTTATCAGGCTAATTATAAACTGTCCACGTTCAGTGCATCCATGAAGATGGGACAAACCATTCATCACAGTTCCAACCAAACTTGTTTCTATCACATAGTCATTCTGTAAAATAGATAATGCAGTAAAGAAGATTAAAAATTCCAACAGGAGGATTTTAGCACAGAGCTTTTAGCAGAAATAAAATATGAAATCTTATTTTTTTATTATTTATTATCTTTACTATGATAATTATTAGAACAATGATCTTATACTATGATGATAAATGATATACTATTTTTGTTATATGTTTGGTTTGTTATATGCATAACATTCATTCTCTTCGTTTTCGAAGGCCCAACCCTGCTTAGTTTCTGAACACAGACAAGATCAGCCACCTGCTGCCACCTGCTGATAATGAAGCATCATCAATAAGCTTGCATTTGGCAAGTACAGATAAACTATTGCAAAGATGCTGCAATATTTTAATTTTTTTTAATATTTTGAGAATTTGTACCTAAACTCTTTTAAATATTATGATAAACAAAAGCGAATGGGAAAGAAATCTAGTTCAGTTAGAAAAAAATAGTAGAATAGAACATATTAATATAAATAGTAGAAAATGTACTACTCACCTGCTTTAGTACCCAACTTAAAGCTTTCTCAAAATAATCTCCAATCCAATTTTCAAGATTGTGTCTGCATTCTTCAGGTTGGTTTCTTAACCAAGATCTGATCAGTGAATTAAGATCAGTATCTTCATCACTAGAATGAGATATACCTCAATTAAAGCAACACATTTTGGAACAATTGGGATATAAGTATCTTGTAGTAAATGGCTCTCATTCATGAATATTACAACAAAAATATATGCACCCTTACTGAGAAGTACATTCAACAAAGCTTATTCCCAGATACAACAGCTAGCAAACAAATGAACAAGAAATAGATGGAAAATATAAGCAAAGGTAAAACTACACAACTGAGCAAAACAAAGTGAAAAAGGAACAGAATATTCACAGCACTTCTATCGACTTCTCTGCCTACTGCACCCATTCTCCCAGGCTTTTGGACAGATTTCCTGTCAGGAAATCTACTTCTATAGGTTATACAGTAATAGACAATGCTTCCTTTTGGATTTAAAATATCTATAGACTAATATAAGAAATTGGGCTTTATAATTTGTCTAATTCCATGGTTTGTTGAATTAAATGTGTTTAAATATATAGACACTATTTCAGTAGATATAAATCAGTGGTTAAAGGTTCTACTTCAAATACCTATGGAGGGCCTGTTGGGAGTCCCTCTGTTAAGAAGTTCATGGTATGTGGACCTGCTGATAGGCCTTCTTGTGATGGCCCCCACCTTATTTCTGGAAATTTTGGCAGCCCCAATACTCCTTGATTTTAGCAAGCAAGTTAAATTGGAAATGCTTTTGGCTCATAGTTTTTTTGGGCAGCCATTATACTTAGTTAATTCTTATTATTTTAATTGTTTTGTTTATTGTATTACATTTTGAATTATTGTATGCTGTCCAGAGTCTGTATGGATTAGGGCATCTTATAAATATTTTTAAAGAAAAAATAGAAATAAATAAGAATCCAATTTCAACAGTATAATAATAGTAACGAAGTCTTATGTTAAACTATTTCAAATTACCTAAGGAAAATCATTCCCATACGAGATATTGTGGCAGGAGAAGCACAGCTCAAGTCATGAGTTTCAAAAACAAAGTTAACATTTGGACCAAACTGAATTCTTTCTCCACTAGGCATAGTGAGTAGTCGATTATCATCAAGGACAGAATTCAGAGATTCAATCCATTCAGGGTCTATGTCACCATCACAGATTATCCATGAAGTAATATCTGTTTACAATGAATAATAAAACATTCCAGGTTTATTAAAATTGCTAGCAGTTTTTTAGAATGAATTCAGATTCCCTGTACTCTCACTGGATGCGTATCAGTAAGGAGGGAACAATCTCTGTTTCTTACAAGGATTTTTAATTCATATGTATGGAACTCATTTAATAAATAAATAGTACATAAAATCAGATTGCTATGTTCTACACAAGTACCTAAAATTCAAATAAATTCTTTATTAGTCATTAGGTTTTCCTTGTTAACCAACTACAATGAGATGCTTTTTTACAACATAACACTAGTAATTTACCAAACAGTAGTATTATTAGTGGTTTTAATCTGACAACTTTGTGCAAATAAATGTGTTATAATAAAGGCAAAAAGTGTGCATGTGCTGAAACAATTAGCTTGGTATTTTTTATTATGATATAAATCTGATCAAACTAAATCTGAAATGCTGTGCATGTTTAACTGGGAAAAAAAATTCTAATTCGATCTATTTCTGCATAAATTCACATATAATCAAAAAGTAAGACTCCTTTTTAAATAAAATTTAATACCTGCAAATTTAAAGAAAACCTACCTGGAGGTTCTCGTACCACTTGCCGAGCACTGTTTGTAAGCACACCATCTGACCACTCTCTTGTGTCCATATCAATATGACCAAGTAACTGATGGCGAGGCATAGCTTTGGGATTCATAGTATATTGCTTCACTACTTTGCCAACTTTTCCAAGTGCTGCTCTTAACATCCGCCAAAGGGTTGATTTGCCTGCACCACTTGGGCCTACAATAACCACACCCATTCTTTGGCGAAGCTGCTCATACAATTCCAAAACCTTCTTTATCTTCACAGAAAGTAAAAAGATAATATATGTTGATACTCCCTTCATCTTAATAACCACAGACCACAGTTATTTTCAGAATTTCACTTATTAGGAAAGAAGACTATTTATTTATAAGGTTTCTATGGCTGCCCAACTCAGCAGAGTGACTCTGGGTGGCATATAAAAATCAAATATACATATGCCAATCCAATAAATAAATAAAAATGAATAACCTTAAAAACTAACACCATGAAATAGAGATCAGACTAAAATGTACTGCAACTAACAATTGGGACTCCCCTTATCTGGACCTAAAGGCCTGGGGAAAGAGCCAGGCAGACAGGGTTGGGGCCAAGCATATATTGGGGGGCAGATTATTCCAAAAAGTAGTGGCACCACTGAGAAGGCATATGAGGCTAACACTTAGGGTATCCTTAAATATCACATTTAAAGCAAATGTGTTTTATTCTACAAATTAATCATTCAAATGTATGACTGCCTTCCAATTTGCAAGAATGAGTACCATAATAATTAACAGGATTTAGTAAGGTATAAATCAAGCAAAGGTTTCAGTTTTGCCCTCTTTCATTTTATTTTTTGCATAAATTTATT